TCTATCTCCATCTACGTCTCTCTTCCTCCCTCTCACCCATGCCTCTATCTCCATCTACATCTCTCTTCCTCTCTCTCCCCCATACCTCTATCTCCATCTACGTCCTTCTTCCTCCCTACCTCTCTCCCATACCTCTATCTCCATCTACGTCTCTCTTCCTTCCTCTCTCCCATACCTCTATCTCTATCTACGTCTCTCCTCCTCCCTCTCTCCCATACCNAACATAGGCCTATATACCTGTATCAAAAGTAGATAATAGGAGATCTCCTATTATCTACTCTTGACCTGTATGTAACATTTGTTACTCACTAACTCTAGCGAACCGTTCTTTTCTGCAGTTGTCACTTGCCGACATCGCAATATTCGTGCTTCTGCAACCCATGATGGAGAACCAAGATCTGGCCGCTGCCTTCAAGGATCACTACGCCATAACAGAACACGTGAAACGTATCGGTGCGATACCGGCCATTAAGAAATGGGTCGAGATTCGCCCAAAGACACCAGTTTAGGGTCTAACTCTAAACAGAACCGCAGGTTCGGAACGATTCGTTGACATTCGAATTGCGATTTTATTATATTTTTCGTTGCGGTTTTGGAATGATTTCGTTGCAATTTCGTTCAAATAGGTAGGCCTATATGCACACTAATATACAAGACACAATTATTGGAGAATATAGCTAGGGGATACGCTCAGATATCGATGCTTTAGTCGGTAGGTCGAGTCGAGTCGAGAAAGGATATTAGTAGCGAAGAACTGCAATATCTCAGTGTAATGCTTTACGTTTTGTTTGTTTTCACATATCATAATATGATAACGATAGACATTTATAGCAGGTGCATGATGGTTCTCTATAGTTGATCTTCGTTGATTTTTTTCACTTATGTTGTCCTCGCAAGTTTTGTTCACGCTACGTAATAAGCACTTGACTTGTATAACGACCCCGAATAGAGGATAAATTTTGATGTAATTATATTTTCCGCATCTCGACTTCAAATCATATTATTACCTCCGCCAAGGGGTTATGTTTTCACCGACGTGTGTTTGTTGGTTTGTGGGTTTGTGTACAGCCTAACTAAAAAGTTATGGACGGATTGTCATAAAATTTTCAGGATAGGTCAGAAATGGGCTAACTTAGAACTGATTAGATTTTGGTGGTAATCCGGATCCAATTAATTAATTAATTAATTATTAATTAATAAAATTCTCAGGATTTGTACTTACAATTCCTTACATTTGATTACATTTTGGTGGTGATCCGGATCCAATTAATTAAAAAAAAATTCAGGATAGGTCAGAAATGGGCTAACTTAGAACTGATTAGATTTTGGTGGTAATCCGGATCCAATTAATTAATTAATTAATTATTAATTAATAAAATTCTCAGGATAGGTCAGAAATGGGGTAACTTACAATTGATTACATTT